ACAGTTTAGCAGAATTGGCAGCAACCGAACAAATTTACTTTCAACCAAAAGACAAAACAAAGACAAATACTATTTCAGTGTTAAAGAATACACAGTTTAGCAGAATTGGCAGCAACCGAACAAATTTACTTTCAACCAAAAGACAAAACAAAGACAAATACTATTTCACAGTGTTAAAGAATACACAGTTTAGCAGAATTGGCAGCAACCGAATAAATTTACTAAGCAATCTAAGTGAAATGGCTAATCTAAGTGAAATTACGAGTAAATTTATCATTAAGTTAAATATGAAAAATCTTAAACTTACCTCGTTGCGTAGAGTATGAACCTCATTCTGCAACGATACTATCATCTCACGTAGAGCGGCAACCTCACCACGTAAAGTTGACACCTCCACACGCCATGCACCATCGTTATCGCGTAGAGTACCGATCTCCTCACGCAAGGCATTGACCTCATCACGTAACTCCCTTGACTCATCCCGTTGAGGTGGAGGTGGAGAACAGGGAGATAGGAGTCGTGGCATCTTTGCCGGTCGCCTATCATGAGGTGATGGTTGAGAAGAGGCTCGATGATGTGACGGGATAGGTGATGGCTCTCGTTCTAGAGGTGTATAGTCGGGTCGATCGGGTGATGGCTCTAGGTGAGGTGATGGCTCTCGAATTGGAGGAAGTGGATGCTGCTCATCATCCGTGCCATCAAAAAATTCTGACTAGCTTGCCACCAATCAGTGGCAAGCTCTTCCTCCGTGGGTGTCAGTCTTTGTAATGGAATGTTAGCCTCCTAAAATATAAAAACTCAAACAAAGTTAAACGTCTACTATTAATAACTTGTTTATATATTATATGAAAGTATTTGTGTTAACTTACATTATTTATTGTGGCATATGGTATTAAGTCTTCCCAATCCAACAGAGTTTTCCTCTTCCAGGAAATAGCCCTGGGAATATCATTTGACGTTTTTATTGCATATGTACGCATGCTGGGGAAAGCCTCGAATATCCAAATCTACAAACAATATAATAACAAAATTAGTAATTGTTAAATAATTAATTATAATTTTAGAAACATTATATAGAAATTCTTACCTTAAAGGCCCAAACAAAGCCTGACAAAGTGTATTTGGACCCATCGCCCCGCAAACTTTTGCGGTCATCAAAGGCAGACGACAACTTAGTCCAGGTAGCTTTCCATATATACGAACCCCACGGAAACAGATTCCATGCATTCAGGTCCTCTACCAATATTATTAGCTCCCGATGAATAGGTTGTCTGGCCTCTCTGCCTAAAAAGCCGGCATACACAAGTAGTAGAAGGCATACTCGGACAACATCGACGTCATCCATCCGAGTGAAACCAGCTTTCTTATTAAACAATTTCTTCAGGTCGTCGACATGTAGGTTCGGCTTCTCCATTGACTCATCCGGAAAAACCCGGGATAACCATGATGGGCGGGCGATATGACGAGTGTACCGGCCTACATCATCGTGTCCGAATCGTAGACCAGTGATTAAGCAGAACTCCTTCCGCCCAAAACAAGTATACGCTGGTGGAAAATGAAACCATATCTCTTCCTCACCACGTTGTATACTGTCGGGTAGATTTGATGTCATGGTCTGAAGCCACAAATGGGTCAAATTAGCATCTCCACCCGGATGCTGTACTCTCAGCCATGGCCCGAAGCAGGTTTCCTCAAACAATTGTCTTTGAGCAGGTGAAAGCTTCTTTGCAATTGTAGTGGCCAGGCTGACTTTATTTCTCAAGGTCAATTGAGCCGAAAAAAATTTCTACAAAAACAATAAACATACCAAGTTAGATATACCAAAAACTACACTGTGAAGATATACCAAAAACAATAAACATAAAAAGTAGTAGTTTATTCTTGAAACTAAAATTTGCAACACTGTTTTGTCTTTTGGTTGAAATGAAAATCGCAACGAGAGAATCGCAACGCGAGATGACAATCGCAACGAGAGAATCGCAACGCGAAATGAAAATCGCAACGAGAGAATCGCAACGCGAAATGAAAATCGCAATGCGATTTTGGTTTCGCGTTGCGATTCTCTCGTTGCGATTTTCATTTCGCGTTGCGATTCTCTCGTTGCGCTTTTCATTTCTCTCGTTGCGACAGTCATTCTCTCGTTGCGATTTTCATTTATCTCGTTGCGACTCTTCTGCAAATTGAAACTTGAATGGATTGCATTACTTCAACCAAAAGACAGAACAAAGACAAAGACAAATACTAACTTGAAAATCGGAACGAGAGAATAGCAACGCGAAATGAAAATTGCAACGACAGAATCGTAACGCGAAATGAAATCTAAGTGAAATGGTTAATCTATTATTGAAATGACCAGTAAACTTATCATCAGTTTCAATATGAAAAACCTACAATAATGCAAACATTTCAAAATAAAAATAATTAAAAAAACTAACCCTCGGAGGTTGATTTTCCATTTCTGAATATTGTGAGGGATTTCTGACCGTGAATGGTTGTGAGGGATTTCGCCGGAGATGGGGACGGAAATCTTCGGAGATGGGGACGGATTTCTTCGCCGTAGAGAGTGAGAGATGGAGATGGGACTGAGTTGTGATTTTAGGTTTTAGGTTATTAGTTGCGATTACGGGATTTTGTCTTAATATTCTTTTTGTAATTTGAAAATAAAATACGCGTAGCGATTATAATGGCGCTTTAAATATCGCGTTGCGATTTACGGATACGCGTTGCGATTTTATGTATTATCGTTGCGATTTACGGATACGCGTTGCGATATACGGATACGCATTGCGATTTACCCATACGCGTTGCGATTTACGGATACACGTTGCGATTTATGTGTTCGCGTTGCGATTTTCATATTCGCGTTGCGATTTTGGAAAATCGCAATGCGAATTTGTACTATCGCATTGCGATTTTCAAGAATCGCGTTGCGATTTTGGAAACTGATTTGCGATTCTGGGGATCGCGTTGCGATTTTTATTTCGCGTTGCGATTTTGTTGGTCATTTTGGCAAATCCAAAAAAAGTTGGTTAAAATCGTATATTATAACTTTTTTTTGGTCACTGAGGCGATTTTCTCTTTTTTTTTTGCCCCAACAGGGCAGCCCAAAAAATGCTAAATAGGGTACATACTTTTATTTTGAGATCTATGGAATTTTTATAGTGCATAAACTCATCAGGGTGAGGTAACAAATTCTAATAAAAAATATATTTTATTGAAATATGATGAGTTCTAACAAAATATATTTTTTTATTAAAATTTATCAAATCAAGATAAAATATTTGAATACAAATATTTTTATTAGAATTAATCATTTCATCGTGATAAGTTCCATAAATATTGTAAAAAAATGTTATGTATCCTAAAAAAAATTATACTTTCACTATTTTTCTAAATAATTTACCAATTTACCCTATTGGAGGAGGAAAAAAAAGAAAACTGAATTAGGTCATTTGGTATTAATTTGAAGCCAAATTTTTGATAAAATATTTCTCGCTACAAAACAATGGCGGATAATGGATATGCACTACGATTGGCTGAAAGTTTGTTTCTCTTATAACGAAGACAAAACGCCTGATGTAAAAGGTTCATGCACTGTAGGAAATATATAATTAATCAAAGATTCATGCACCGTAATAAATATTATAATTAATTTTTATAAAAAAATTCATACAGTTTGATATCGCTTAGATAACGTTTCAAGTTTGAATTTTTGAATATACAGAAAATCCTTGTTAAAGACTCACCTACTAAAATCATGTGTGCGATGCAGATTAGTCTGGATTAATCAAGGCGAAGCTCTGAAATTGAGAAGACAACTAAAAAAATATTAATTATTTATAAAAAACATTATAGTACATGACCAATTGTTTATTTCTGTAAGTATGCCGCAATAAAAAAATAAGTATATTAATGATAAGAACCTTAATTTTGAGAAAATATTAGTGAATTTTTTTTTCAACAATGTCAACTGAATTTCATTAATAAAATTGGTGGAATCAAAATTACAACGTAAAATTGGAGATAGTAGTCATCAAAAATTAATACATAAAATTAAAATATTAAGCTAAAAATACGAAGAGAATGAATCTTTCCAAACATCAAAATAATCTAGTAACCTTAATAAAACTCATTATCTCTGTCGAACGAGACATTTTATGATGTGATAAAGGAGTGGTGATCGAACCAAACAATTTGACTGACTGCTTTGTTATATAATTCTGATTATATCGGCAAACTACCATTTACAAAAGAGGGGATCTGACAAAACGTAATCACCGATAAGCCAACCAGAAAACAAATGCCGTGAGGATCTTTGTAGAAGCACCAACACGATCGCAAAAGTATGCGAAAACTTATTGAAAATCATAAGGAACGTGCCACAAGAGCAGAGAAAAAGTGTGTCACAAGGATAGAGATTCTTATTTAAAAGTGAAAAAACTCAAGGAAAAAAGCAAAGACATAATATGAAAAGGAACAAGAAAAATAAAACTCACCGGCGGTCGGCAACCAATATTAAGATTGGTGCCGCCGTCGGTTAAACAACAAACAAAGGGAGAAAAGAAGACGACACAAGAATATTGAGAGAACAAAATTAGGTTAAAGAAAATAAAGGCTAATTAGCGAATTAAGCTAAGATTGTACATGTTTAAGAAATTATTATTACTATTGTTGTTGTTATTGGAAGTATGTTTCAGAAATTAATATGGCTTGATAAGGATATATTTGTTGTTGTTGAACTAATCAAAGAAAGAAAACGTAAATAATGTGTTGATAGTTTTGGTCAGGCAGGGTGGCTTGATTCAAGTTGGTTCCAGCCCTCCCAAAATTAGGTCTAAACATTGCCGGTCAAACTCTGCCTTCAAAAACAAAGAAGAAGCCCATTAAGCCCGAACTGTATTATTAAGCCTAAAGTTATTTTAGCCTGCTTGATTGGACCATAAAATATTTCAATGGAAGCCCTTTTTTGGGCCATTTAAGTTCTCCGTTTATACACCGACGAGGATTTCATTTGTGTTTCTTCCAAAGAAAAGTTTTCCGAAAGCTCCGCCCAGACAATGTCAGGCATGGAGAGACTGCAAAGGATGTTTGCCGGTGCTGGAGGCGCTTTGGGTCATCCGCCACCTGATTCGCCGATTCTCGATTCGTCGGAGCGAGTCTATATCTCCTCTCTCGCCCTTCTCAAAATTCTCAAGCATGGTATTTCCCTCTCTCTCTTCTCAACCTCTGCTTGTGTGGAGTTCTTATTTTACTAGGGCTTTGACTTTGTTTAAAAAACTATACTGTTCTCATTCTGCATTTTTTGAGGTTTTTTATTTTTATTTATTTTATTATTCTTCTGTCGTGTACTTGTCTACAAGAACCTTTTAAGGGTTAAAGAGTTTAGCTTTTGCGGAGGCTTGTTGTAATTGCGTTTCTTTATTTGGTTGATTTGAACATTTTTTTAGGGAGAGCTGGAGTTCCCATGGAAGATATGTGTTTGATGTTGGCAGAGTTTATTGATGAGTACACTGTGCGTTTCGTGGATGTCTTTGCAATGCCACAGAGAGGTACTGGTGTTAGTGTTGAAGCCGTGGATCATGTTTTCCAAACAAATATGCTCGACATGCTCAAACAAACAGGAAGGTATTGTCTACACTCATATCTCTGTGTTCGTTGATACTAATTTATAATAGTTGTTGGAAATAACCCAAAATTTGAAGAAATTGTATTTGTACGACAAGATTAGGTGACATTGTCTTCTATGATCACGTATTTCTCCAGCTGGTTGCTGACCCTTTTGCCTGTTGCTGCAGGCCAGAGATGGTGGTGGGTTGGTACCATTCACATCCGGGATTTGGCTGTTGGCTTTCTGGTGTGGACATAAACACGCAGCTGGTTGTGGTTAACATTTTTGCTTCCTGCTGCATCACGCACATGCTAGTGAACTAGTATGTTATTGTTGCTTAGAAAAATTTCCTCTTTGTCATGGGTTTTTATGTCTCTGGTTGATGTTAATACCTTGTTTACAACTCATTATTCACATCATTCTTATACTTAAAAATGAAATGAAAAAATATTGATATGTAGCTCTTATATTAAAATTCCTTTACTTTTCAATTCTCCCTTTTGTTTTTCATTTTCGGAGAGTAGGAGAAAGTGATTGTGTTGTTGGTGGGGCGGGTGTCAAGGGTATAGGGCTGCTTGTCAACTCTGTCATTAAGGTTTCATTCATGTAAGGAATAGGGGAGGAAAGACGTCATTTTGGACAGTGCTCTATATTTATTGTGATTCATGGCTAGGTAGTCCCCACTTAAATTGATTTTTGTCAAGAATGAAATCTTATTGGAACTGCACGGTTCATCCTTAGAAATTTTTAACTTCCTTGGGGAGCCTGTTGATAATTTAGGTCCTCTAGATACTAATACATGTCCTATTAGTACCCAGAATGCTGCTATGCCATTTATTGATGCTTATTAGTAATCAGGTTTGACACAAACATGGTGTCACTTTCTGCCTAGTATCATGCCTTGTGCGATGTTTCAAAAATATTTGAGTATATAACAGCTTATAAGCATCATAAAGGCTCGAAAAATTAGTGTAGATTTCTGAATATTTTACTGGTACATATACTAGGTCCAAAAGTTTTACCTATCCTATTCCATATAGTTTATGTTTTAAATTTCAATGGTGTATATTAGATATATATTTTTAGTTAACCATTGTGATCAATGTTGGGTGGCCTGTCTGCCACTGCTTGCAGAGTTTTGAAGCATTGAATCAAAGGGCCGTTGCAGTGGCGGTGGACCCAATTCAGATTGTTAAAGGGAAGGTGGTGATTGATGCATTCCGTTTGATCAACCCACAAACCATGATGCTTGGCTAAGAGCCACGTCAGACAACATCCAATTTGGGGCATCTTAATAAGCCGTCTATCCAAGTGAGTGCCAAAGGAACATTGTATGTGTTTTTCGTAATAGATTCATTGCCATGGGGACTGATCTCAATATTTTTCATTGCCAAGCATTGATCCATGGACTAAATAGGCACTATTATTCTATAGCCATTAACTACAGAAAGAATGAACTTGAAGAAAAGATGCTGTTGAATCTTCATAAGAAGAAGTGGACAGATGGACTGACACTTCGGCATTTTGATACCCATTCGAAAACCAATGAGTAGACTGTTCAGGTCAGTGAGGGCTTTAATGTGCACTTTAGGGTGCTGAACCCTTGGTTGTTTATTTGTAAGATAGCGTATGAATTTATGCTGCCCCTCATTGATATGAGGTACTTGAAGGGAAGAGGAACCTAAGTGCAATGAATTTTTCTTACAATGAGTTCTCCATTTTGAAAAAAATGGCATTTAGAATAGTTGCTTAAAAAGTTAAACTGTGAACTCCAAATAACTAATTTCTTGTTATATTGAAAATGGTCTTCCATAAGTTATGATGGTGGTTTATTTTGACTTGTGCAGTAAATGCTGAATTTAGCTGTAAAATACAAGAAGACAGTGCAGAAGGAAGATGAATTACGCCCTGAGAAGCTGGCAATTGCAAATGTTGGTCGACAAGATGCCAAGAAGCACTTAGAGGAACATGTCTCAAACTTGATGTCCTCAAACATAGTTCAGACTTTAGGAACTATGCTTGACAGGGTCGTGTTCTAGACTGTTAGCGTCTGTATCATCTTTTCAAGTTCAGGAGTTGAATCTATATTGATATCATACATTGTCTGTCAAGTGCATTGTTTATGTATTTTTGACAATTTAAAACGACTACCTGCCCGTCTAATTATTTTTTTTGTTCATTTTTCTCATTGGCTCCCGCTTTGCGTACGTGGGAGTGAAGGGATATATTGTTTCAGCTAGTAATTTGGGTAACTGTTTGAGGTTCTGGGTCTGTACAAGATGAACAAAAGGAAGGCTCAATCCATTTGCCTCAATCCCCAACCACTGAAGTCCATGTGGTTCTTGGTGAATGTCTGTGTTCCCAACGTCGACAAGGTTGTGATTCTGTTTGGTAGGGACATGAATGATTACTTGCCTGATAGACTCTGTTCTAACATAAGCAATATGCAGTGATTTCACTGGTAAGGGCGTAAGGCTCCGAACTTGTGGTATTTATACGGACAATGAAAAATTGTTTATTGCACCGTAAAGGCCAGACATCCTGAGACTTGAAGACGTAACGTTGGACTTGCCAATAACTAATGTCGTGACATGCTTAATACAACGTCGTAACATATTTAATGCAACGTCGTGACATTCTCTATTGTTTATGCAGAACGAATAAACATTACTTCGATTTTCTTTTGGCACGAAGGGAATAATTTGCCAATAACTAACGTCATAGCTTTATTTATACAATATTGCAACATTCTCTACTGTTTGCACAAAAAACAACTAGACATTATTTTGACCATCTTTTGGCATATATGAACTACTTTTTTCGATTAAATAATTAAGAAAATAACTTCAGTGACCAAAGATGCCTTATAATATACGATTTTAATCAATTTTTTTGGATTTACTAAAATGACCAACTAAATCGCAATGCGATCGATAATTCGCAACGCGATCTCCGGTATCGCAAATCAGTTTCCAATTCGCAACGCGAACATCGACTATCGCAACGCGAACTTCGACTATCGCAATGCGATAGTCCAAGTTCGTTGCGATTTATTCCAAATTAGCGTTGCGATAGTCGAAGTTCGCGTTGCAATTTATTCCAAGTTCGTTGCGATAGTCGAAGTTCGCGTTGCGATTAATTCCAAATTCATTGCGATAGTCCAAAATCGCAACGACTGGTGGTATTGCATTTGTTTCTTAAGAATTTTCTCTAAAAATATAGTATTCGAGCGGACGTATCGAAGACACGTATTACCACGACCACGACCCGAGATTAGGAACGAGGCACTCACCTTGTCTCTTCACCCTGACTCTGTTGACATTTAACCTAGTAGCACATGGTCGCGTATTATTTAATGTAAGAGGAGATTAGGAACCCAACACCGTCTAGCTATGCTATCTTATGCACTATGAAGCACGGGGACGGCAAAAGAGCCCCGTTTCAAGTACCCAATACATTTCTGGGATACGTATCGAAGACGTACCACGGTGATAGGGTATGGCTGAACGAATTTAAGGACGGTCAAAACGTTTTGGGGACGGCTCCAAGGATTATTCGACAAAAAATAACCGTAAATGAGAGATAAAAAAGATTGAAGAAAAAAAAGTGTGAACGAGTTGTGCGGACAAGGGTCTGGTCTGGAAATAAGTAAATAACAAACAAAAATGAAGAATAATAGTTTATAAGCATGCGAAACAGTTTTTGCTGTGCAAATGGAGAAATAAAAGGAAGAAACGGTCACCTGGGGAAGAAAAAGAAGAAAAGCTGCGGGAAGAGTTAAAATAAGATTTACGAAATTTTTGATATAATTTCCAGTTGATCCTTTATCTTTCTAGGGCTTTCGAATATGGAAACAAAATTTACATTTTCAAATTGAACACTCAAATTAATTTAGTGGTTTGGGGAAAAATTCAAATGTTAGGATTTTAATTAGGTGTTACACTAATTTTCTATGAAATATTGATTTTATTTATGATTTTTTATCTATTTATAATTTTAAATTTTTTTATATGTCGTATCCTTATCATCTCTGTACCGTGTACTTTTAAAAATTATCATTTTTCGTCTCGGCCCCGTATCCGTCCGTATGAGTGCAACATAGCTTAGGCATGTGCCTGAATTTTGGGTACTTGAAGCTTCTACTAAGGTTGTTTAGCAAGAGATATACATAGTGAGTCATGTTGGATAAGGGTAGGATTGTCGTGGTCTGAATTTTGTTGACAGATAAGTGATAGCTGGAGCTTGACTGTTATCTAAATTTGGGTAGACTTGTAAAGGAATGTCTAGATTCTATTGTTTTCTTCTCGTCTACTTTACAACTTTATATTAATTTTAAACTCGAGCCATATTAATTTTAACCAATTATATTTTGACACGACCGATTATAATTTAAATAATTAAATTATTTTTCGTTTCAAAATTAATTTAAAATTTAGAGTTTTAAATTTTAAAGTTCTATATTTCAAAAGGTTTTCAAAACAATAGATTATTTTGAAGTTCTACATACTCAAATCGATTATAACTTGTTTAAAACAACAACAAAATTAAGTTTTCGAAAATGGATTTAAGTTTTTCGAATGAAATAGAAATACTTGAAGTTTTAAGACATTCCAATCAGATGAGATCAAATTATAACAAACAAATATAAAATTTGACATGCCAAATGATTTAACATTCCTGCATAATAGTTATATCACGTATGGCCTTACTGGGGTAACGAAATGATGATTTAGGTATTTGTTTCCGAAAAATAGATAAAAATTAGTAAAAATCATAATTTTATTTAAATAAATTTAATACTAATAGACATATGCTAAAACATTTATAGAAATAATTTTATGTATGTAAATTATGAAATGATTATAGATAAGATAATAAATGGAGAAATGGGTAAACGTGTGGCCCACGAATATATCCAGTTGTAGGGTGAAGTCGAGAAAAGACCCTTTCATTTTGTATCAATTGACTCTTCAGAAATATCCCGCAGCTCGTGGTATATATTTTTTTTTTCATTTTTTTCCGGTTTTGATGTAAAATTGATCGTTCAAATTTCATGTTAGTTTTATCTTCAATGTTTTGTCGAAGTTCTCGGTTGTTACCCCCGCCGTTTCCGTATGTATATCTCAAAGTTGATCATTGATCGATTCAATTCTTTGTTTTGGTTCCTTCGCAATTAGGTTTGGTTGTTGAAGCTTTCTTTGTGTGTTTTTCAGATTTGGTTAATGGAATTCATGGAAAACTAGAGACATTGCTTTAGTAGGAGTTTTAGCTACTGGAGTGGTTATTGGATTTGGAAATTTAATTACAATGTCCTCGAAAGGCGAACATCAAACGGTGCCTCTCTCGGTTCTACTGAAACGGGAATCAGAAAGCGAAAAGATCGAAGATCCCGAGATTTTACATGGACACGCGAGCCAGAGCAAGAAAGGTGAAGACTTTACATTGCTTAAAACAGAATGCCAACGAGCAATGCGACGAGATGATGTTGCCACATTCTCAGTGTTCGGGGTATGAATTTTCTGTCTCTCATACTAACTATATATTTGCTAACCTGATTCTAAATGCTCGAGCAAAATCACCTAACTTCGCAATAAAAACCTCAGTAGAACTATTCCAAAAAAAAAAACTCAGTAGAATTGCGTCTCTTAGTTGTATTGGTGTTATTATCTGTACAATTGGTTTAGTTTTGTACAAATATAATCGTCCTTCAACTTTTTGCTTTTGGAAATCCTTTTAATAGGTTAGCTTGCTAAATATGTTTTTTTCTTTTATAGCTCTTTGATGGACACAATGGGTCTGCTGCTGCTATTTACACAAAGGAGAATCTCCTTAATAATGTCCTAAATGCTATTCCTGCGGATCTTAATAGGGATGAATGGGTTGCTGCACTGCCGAGGGCTATGGTTGCAGACTTTGTCAAAACAGATAAAGATTTTCAAGAGAGAGGTATGAGTTCTTTTTTGTGTGTAAACATATCCTATTATATGTTTAATAGGATAACCTTTGGATCAAAACGTAGTATTTTTCTAGATAAAAAGTTAGTTTTATTAGATTTGTACACTTATTTGTCTCTGCATTTTGCTTTATGTGAGGTCCATGTAAGTGGGGGTTACTGGTTGGTTGTGTATTTTACATTGGAACTTTTTGCTTTCTCTTGTATGGTAAAAGACATCAAACATATTTGTAGATATTTAATTATAGATCAGTTTGTCCTATATTTGTATGATTATACTTAAGCATCTACTTTTATGTGCATAAGCACATAGTTTCTTCACCCTTTAAGTGGGAATTGAGATGAAGAGAGACATATAGTCAAGTAGGTATTTTTTTTCTTTTATTTCTTAAAATTTTGGGTAATAACTTCTTGTTGGGTTGTATTCTGCATATTTAGTAATTTATATACATGTTATGTTTCTCTTTCCAGCAAAAACTTCGGGAACTACTGTAACCTTTGTGATAATAGAAAGATGGGTTGTAACAGTTGCATCAGTTGGTGATTCCCGTTGTATATTTGAATCGGCTGAAGGTGATATATATTACTTGTCAGCTGATCATAGGCTTGAGTGCAATCAAGAGGAGTAAGTTATTAACATAGTGTTTACCGTATTTTAAGAGTTTTTCTAAATCAATATCTTACTTTCTGTTTTCATCTTTTTAGGAGGAAGCGAATCACAGCAAGTGGTGGTGAGGTTGGGCAGTTAAATACTGGTGGTGGTGCACAGGTATTTCCCCTCCCATTACAATCATGCATATTATTTTTGAGTTGATTAACAAAAACGCTCTTGATTCTTAGCCATTTCTTTCCATATGTGAAACTTATTGCCCTCAAAATATATTCAGGTGAATGGATGCACTAACACAATACTTGGAAAACAAAAGCTAGTTTCAGAGTTTACATTACTCTATAGTGAAAATGTACCATGAATAACTTATAAGATAATTGATGTGAACCATAGGACTCCTCTGTAAAACTAGTTTCAATGCAGATTTAAATATATGGTATTTATATGCCTGATAAATTGGTTCTTCATAGAGAATTTCAGTATCTGCAATCAAGGACAGAAATGTATTCAATTAATTTATGTATCAAGGTGGGTGACTGGTAACAATATTTTGTAGATTGGTCCTTTGAGATGTTGGCCAGGAGGTTTTTGTCTTTCACGTTCTATTGGCGACATGGATGTTGGGGAGTACATTGTTCCTGTTCCATATGTAAAGCAAGTAAAGGTTCGTCTTTCATATTCTGATTGCATGCTGGTTTTTCTGTTTTTTAATTTTTACCCTAACCAGTTTCCTTTGAAAAGGTGCTAGCTGTTTGACCAATCTAGTTCCACACTCCTCCCTATGAATTTAGAAAGCCTTTTGTTTAATTGTTATTCGTAATAAATTTGACGTACTGGTTTATTTTCTGCAGTTGTCTACAGCTGGTGGTAGGCTAATTATCTCTAGTGATGGTGTTTGGGATGTGTTATCAGCCAAAGTAGCTCTTGATTGTTGTCGTGGAATGCCACCAGATGCTGCAGCTGCACAGATTGTGAAAGTATACTCCTGAATTACTTTTGTTCTCACAATTGACTTGTCCAAGGGGATAGGCTTCCCATGCACCTTGGTAAACCTGACTTTATTTGGACAGGTCATTGGACAAGGGTTTTTTTATTAATAAATATTTTTATTTAATTATTTTAAAAATAAAAATTTTAAAATCTTACTTGTGGTCTGACAGGTTGTGTGGACCTCGTGCAAGGATTTTATATGTTCATCCGAGTCCAGCCTATGGGCACATCTAGTCTATACTATGCTCTTCAAATGTTGCTACTGGGAGCACAATGCCCTTCTGGTTTTGCAATATGTTTAGTATCAGTCTTCTTTCTGAACGACTTCCGATTCCTTGGTCCCCACTGAACAGGAAGCTGTACAGGCAAAGGGTCTTCGAGATGATACAACCTGCATTGTTGTTGATATCTTACCAGTGGAGAAGCCACCTCCTCCTTTGCCACCCCCAAAGAAGGCAGTAAAAGGTAAGTTGAAGTCCATGTTTCGCAAGAAGCCATCTGAATCATCGTCTCATTCTGATAAAGAATATATGGAGCCAAACATGGTGGAGGAACTATTTGAGGAGGGATCTGCTATGCTTTCAGAAAGGTTTGTGCATATAATAATTCTTTATTTGTTCAGATATGAAATTTGTTCTTTGTGTGTCAGATCAAGCTTCAGGCCTGTAGACTTCTTTCTTTTCAACCCATTCTGTGGGGAATATAGGTTGCTATGAATGAGGAGCGTATTAAGTACTTTAGAGTTTTATCTTATTAGGAACATTTCTGTTGGATGCAGGTTTAATACAAAATATCCTGTGTGCAACATGTTTAAGCTGTTCACGTGTGCAGTCTGTCAATTAGAGATGAAACCTGGAGAGGGTATTTCAATTCATGCTGGCACATCTAATTCATTAAAGTTACGTCCCTGGGATGGTCCTTTCCTCTGCACTAGTTACCAGGAGAAGAAAGAAGCCATGGAAGGGAAAAGACCTTCAGGAAGTAATGACAAAACTCTCACATTCCTCTTTTTGTTTATTGCAAACTTATGCTAAAAGCTCTTTCAACTTTTATTTTTAAAATTTTTTCTCCTGTTTTCAGATAGACATGATAGTGACATTGATTAGCTAGACCTCCCAAATTATTGTGGCGTTTTATGGATACTAACAGTTGTTTCGGAGGTGGGTGTAAATGGGAAGATATCACAATCATATACTATTGTAATTTCATTCAATTGCTTATTGGGGGTCATGGAGCATTCTGGTCCACTTGCAACTGAGGATTCATTTAGATATATATTCCAATTAAGAAGATCAGAGTTCAAACATGTGTCTAGATCTGTTTTCTGGGTTCTGAATAAGAAGAATGGTGTTTACATCGAGTGAAAATTAAAAAAAGAGAAGATATGCTGAAGATTTCATAGACTCGGCAGTGCATAGTGGCATGCTTCAGAGGTAATTCTTTTTTCATCTGTGTTTATCCCATTGTATACCGGTCGCTCCAAGTCGTAAAACTAACACTAAATGATAGTGGACTTGAAAGTGTAATTCTTATAATATATAGGGAATTGTTGAGTACTCGATACACTTTTGTCAGAAGTTAGGCAAAACTTTGCATGATTATCTTGCTGAATGAAATTTGTTCATGTTGATAATTGTTCCTTTAAAAAAATAATATTATTCTTAATCCGATTTAATGCATGATTTCTTAATATCCGTATTATTTTCCACTGTTTTGATAACTTTGATTAATTTCAGTATTATTCACAGAAGTGCACGTATTCTTAATTTATTAATTTCGGTATTATTCACAGAAGTGCACGTATGCTTAATTTATTTGTAATGGCTTGATCGTTTGTGATAAGGTTCGTATTAAGTTGTTTCTGGAAGTTGTGGTGTCTTTAGGATAGATATGATGAACACCGCAATGGAATTGCTTGTTCGTGTGTTGCAGATGGGGCCAGCATTGCTGTAGGAACGAGTAGAAAAACGCTTGGCTGGAGGGTATTTGGCTCTAGTAAGCAAACACGTGAAACTCGCTTTCAGGTTCTCGAAGAGGGCAAGTGCCCAATTCCTTTATTATTCACGTTATTAGAAGCCAAAAGCAAAACACATAACCAAAGGTTTTTTCAAACATTGGGTTTAGGATACTTTTTTAAAATATATAGAAGGTAGGTACTCTGTTAACTAAGGGGTATTGAGTGGGCAGAGGCAAAAGCAGAAAAAAGAACCGACCCAAGGAATAATGATAAAGGATCTTAATTATATGGGTTTTGAAGGTGAAATTTTTGTTTTATGCCTCGTTTTGTCCTCCCCCTTCCATTCTTATCTTTAGGGAGATGGAATGAGATTATTTTGAGTGGCAAAGATGTGTCTGTCGGGCCTCCAAAATAATGCCTCCATGATTGGGATGTTGACCTTTAAGTAAATGAACAAAAATTCCCCCATGGGCTGCTGGTTTTGGAAGGGACCATCTTTGTACGCGTGCGTGTGGGTCTACAACCATCTTACCTGTGCAAGTCTCTGCTTAATCGGACGCTTCAAACTTGTTGTCACGAGATCATCTGCAGACCTATTTGCAGATGGCCCATCTTCCTCTTAAATTGACTGATGAATAGAAGCCTTTGCCCCTAACAATGCTGCCTGCACTGCTTGCAATTTGCTTGTCACAGCTTCAACCCTCAGTCCTTGTTAGTTCATGATCAAGCATTAATGGCGGGGTCGTCATCTCTTCCTCAACAATTAAAACCATTTGCATTTATAATGATCTATTCTTAAAACAGAGAAATTCAATTCTCAACTGCAGTACATGTATCCTGGGATGGACCATGATGCCGTTGTTAAATGTTTTCCTTTTCTGTTAGCCCAAAGTGATTTGATAACAAAAAAAAAATCAAAATCAGCTTATAAATATCGAAAGCAGCATGTAAAATCTGGTCCATTCAAAGAGATTTTTTGTATCATACAAACCGGCTTTACTTGGAAGAATCCGATAGCTCATTCATCGTAGGGTCGAGATATCCCTTATCGGCTGGGAAGCTAATGGTGTCGCCGATGCACTCACCCGGATCGGTCGAACGGTGTCAACGGGGCTGTCTGAGATGACCACCCCAACAGCTGAAATCCACAGACTTCTCCAGCTTGACTTGCCTGCTTGGAGAATAAATTCTTTTAACCACTAATATAGTGGTCCTCTTTTGTAACCAAAAATGAAAAAGTTGAACCGTGGAAGTAGCAGATTCGGACTTGAAACAGTGTTGAACTCCACGGGGCATGAAATGATGGCTCAGCTAATACCTCTCAATGACATCATTTCCATGTCAAGATGACAGGTGAGCATTGTTGAAAACTCGTCTTACACAACCTAATGAACGTACTTTTTTTCTCCCCGTGGTTAACTGGCGTGCAGAAAGAGAGGATAGGTTATTTCCTGTAAAAGAAATGAAAGGATAACAGTGTTTTGTTGGTACTATATTCCAAGCCCAACTTTTTAAGATTCCTCTAGAAATGAGCGCACATATTTCTGTATGTAGTATGCACAGTAGAGTATCTCAACAAGTTTCAACTCTCCTTTTTTTTCCTTTTTGGCTCTCGCCCGTCTTATTGGCAGAACAGCTCAGAATAAAAGTTTTTGCTTTGCCATTCCACCAGCCTGTTGTGGGCAAATTTGGATGTTTGCGATCTAAATTTCCTTGTATCAGATGTTGGATTTGACAAGGACCTACCAACCCTTTTTGATGCTTAATCTGCTAAATTTTTCAATCTCAACTCACATCCAAATGGCCACCGCCGTTACCACCCTGTTTCTATCTATTGAAAAATAATGCAAAAAGGTAACCAAATATATGTCCAATTTACTCCCCCCCCCCCAAAAAAAAAAAAATCAATTGCCTCCTAATCTCCTTATCCCCTCACCCTCTCCCTCTCTATCTCTCAACTGAGAAGAATTTTATTTCATTTCAGATACTGAATCAGATATCGTGGAATTAGCTTAATTACAATCATGAATGGTTACCGGGAGCAGAAAACCAGGGAGAAAGTTGTGGACAAAGAGCAGGAAGGGTCAGCAGAAAAACAATCCCCAGCTTCACCTCCTTCAGCTTCTTCCTCTCCTTCTCATGAATTCTCCTTCACAGTCGTCTCTCTCCAGTCTTCCTCCAACACTGTCCCAGGTAAAACCAAAACCCCACCTTCAGTGGCTATCGATTTGACTCCAGCAGATGACATTTTCTTTCACGGTCATTTGCTCCCTCTCCAGCTCCTTTCTCACCTCCCGGTGTCTCCACGTTGCTCCACGAATTCATTGGATGGATGCAACGTTCCCGTAAGAGAGTTATTGGATGAACCGAAACCCAATAAACCCAGCTGCACCACTTGTAGAAGCAAAAGCGATAGCAATATCAGAAGCAGCAACAAGAACCATGGCAATGGAAAAGTTGGTAACTTCCATCACACCCATAACGTTGAAGCAAAAGCAAGGCCAAAGTCCAAGTCTTTCTCCTTATCCGGTTTAACAAGGTGGCACCACCACAAATGGCGTGGCGTTAGAGAAACAGAAGAAAAAGAGAAGCACAGGATGAAGATGAGATTCGATTTGAGACATGTTTTGAAGAGGTACGTGAGGATGGTTCGGCCATTGTTGTTCTTCAGAGGAAGGAGAGAGAACCGCCATCTTCGTGGGCAACCTCGCTCATTTTCAGGCAATTTAAGTTGGAGAAACAAAGAAAAAGAGTTGAGAGCAAGAAGAGGAGATTTTTATTCAGCGCCGGCTTCAATGAGAACATCGCCTACAAACAGTGGTCTTCTTGTTGCAACCACGGGTTACTCTTCTTCAACCAGTGACAGCACAATGGAAGAGCTGCAGGCTGCAATTCAAGCTGCGATTGCTCATTGCAAGAATTCCATTGAAGGGGAAAACAAATTTAAATGCTTGACCTAGTTTTGAATTTGCTCTCCTTATATTTATTCAACTTCTATAAGCTGTTTTACCTTTTTGTTCTTTTTCTTTTTACTGCATAGATATAATTAATATTTCCCTGTGTATAAAACGGTACATACATAAAGGAGTATGAGATTAGTTTGAAGATAAAGATGATGACTGCTTTGATAAATTTCAACATCTTAAAATGAAAAAACTGGTTCTTTTGTTGCCTTTTACCGTGCAGAGTATGTCATATGTAGTTTGATGAAAATGAGCAAATTTGAAGGTCAGATTTTGAGGATTCAGAAATCTGTTCACATGATTCGTTTGTTGCATTAAATAAACAGTTAAAGTTGTTAAATTCCAGATTCAAGAATGTCAAATATGAGATGGCATCTATGTTGTATTTGCATATTCTTAATATTGTTTAGTGCAGCATTTTATATTTCATAATCCCTGGCCTTTGATGAATTCAAACAGTGTGATTATTGACGTCCTCTGCGTGTTCCTACTGAAATGCTAATCATTGTTAGCCTCGCATTCTCAGTAAAAAGAGCCAGCCATCATCATCAAGCCTACCCTTTTCTTTCATCTGTTCATTTTGCTTGAAATTTTTTCTTTCTTTAGCATTTTCCCATGAATCAACCACTAAAAGAGCCCCCACATGAAAAAGGAAAAGTTAGCAAGGAGAGGGATGGAGTAAAGCTATAGTAGAAGAGCACAATGGGTTTTAAATTTTCAGTCCCTACAAGCGAAAAGGCAATCAAAAGGGAACAGAATACCATTTCTAGTGGCAGATGCCCTAAAAATATCAAGTGGTATCAATGTGGGACACTTACGATGACTTGACAGCTTGAGAAATTTCTCCAAAAAGCATCAAGCTCACAACTAATTGCATATGCTTTCAACAGTGTTCTTATTATCAAAGGCACGATTCGTTTGAGTGCCACAGATTTAAGATTAAAAGCCCAAGACCGTGATAATGAGGATGATGATAGGTTGTAATGATGACAGCAATTGTCTTGGTTTCTCCCCTTTTTCCACCCTTTTTCCAGGGCCATCTTGAGTTCATACACATGCTTGCATTGCTGAAACAAGTTAAAACTAATATTTTGTTGACCGAGATTTTAGATACGGGATGATTATATCCGAAAGCATGGAGTTGACCACCTGGGAATTCCTTTTTCTCAAACAGCATGAAAAACAAAGAAGCCCCACAAAAAGGTGATGCCTGCAGGGGTCATGAAAAACGATGATTGGAAATTTAAAAAATGTGCAGCAAGCACAGCTCTGTTCCATGGATTATTAGCTTATTTCTAGGACATGGTTTGTTTCACTTCAAAATTTCCAGAAGGAAGTTACTGTAACAAACAACGAACATAAAACTTTTGAGAAAATAGAAGCAGTGACACAAAAATTCATTGAATAAAGAAAGGTGAAACATATAAGAGCAAAGAATCACCTCATTGAGTGGTAAACTTTTCTCATCAATTATAAGGGAAACGAAAGAGACACTGAGAGAGTGTTTAGTCGTATGAAGTGTCTGTTTCATTGGACCAACAGGAAAATTTGCATATCTTCAAAGATCTTGTAAAAACAGATGTTGGAAAAATAGTCATGGAAGATTTTCATTTGATCAGCAGATTATTCTTTTTTTCCCCCTTATTGTACTCGAGTATTTCTAAAGATTAGAAACAAGTTTTGTCATTGTGTTGGTGTTTTCACTTGAAGGGTTTTTTTTTTTTTCCAGAAAGAGAGGAATACATTAGAAGGAATGACAAGTTTTTAACATACAGCAGTTGGAACAAAGTTCCAAAAAAATATAGGGTAGGATGGACTTAATCATTTGATTAAACATCTATCGATATAACTGCAAGGCTTGTTCATGTATGGCTAGAAAAGTTTGATTCGATTCGATTCGAAAAAATGATATTTTTCCTTTAAATTTTAAGTTTTTCAAGTTGAGTTATTCTAATCAATTTAAATTTCAAATTCAAGTTGAGTTTGAATTTGTAAAGTTTGAATAATAAAAAAATGAAAACTTATTTAGACAATTTAATAGTTTGCATTTTGATCTTTAATTTTCTTATTTCATCCTTCATTTTAAGTTTTTTTCAATCAAATTTTAATAGGGATGAAAATTTAAACCGATAACGACAGTTTCTGACTCAACCCGACCTGAGGATAATAATGTATTTTTTTGATAAAATTATTATTATTTTAATTATGTGCTTATTTTATACCGGGTTGAATTTATACTCTAAAAATTTGGGTTGAGTGGGAGTTAGGTGGAAGATATCTATTTTTTTTGGGTCGGTTCGGATGAATGATATATAATTTTCAGGTCGGATCGAGTTCGAATGGAGGATACATATTTTCGTGTTGGGTCAGGTTGACCAAAAATCTAACTCTAACCCGACTCATTCCATCCCTAAATTTGAACCACATACTCTTAAACCATTCATTGTAGAATATATAGCTTCATATTGTTTTTTACAACAAATTTCTTAGTTTTTCGATTTTTTTCCTTTAACTTTACATAACTTATTTGTTTCTTCAATTCCCCCATTTTAGATTATTTTTTTAGCAAATTTAAACCATATATTCCTCTACCACTATAGAAAACTTTTTATTATATTGAAGTTGATCTTTCGATCATAATATTTTACAAATTTTACCTTCTCATTAATTCTTTGACTCGTTTATACTCTTATCAACATTTTATCATCAAAATAACATTATAAACAATTTTATAATTTTAAATGATATTTGGTTTATTAAATAATATAATAATATCAAGAGAACATGAAAAGATATGTATGTATATCTTAAATAGTTAGAAAAAGTCATTAAAATATAGTTAATATGTATTATAATATTATATATAATTACAATTAATTTAAATTTGAATAGAAACTTGAACAACTTGACTAAATTTAAAAAAATAAAATTTGAATAATAAAATAAAATTCATCAATTTAATTAATTTAAATTTTTTTACTCGACTTGATCTCTTCAGTAGATAATAGAAACTAAAAATTAAAAACTGATAAGTTGAAGCATTGATTCCTACCCATTGCTTAGGTATTTATTAATTATTTCCTGACAATTTAGACTAAAATGCCCTTAAAACAAAAGGCTTATTTCAAAAAATATCCTTCACTTTATTTCACAAGTTATAGTACTTTACTTTCCCAAACCTGTTAAGATTTATTTTCTCATACCACAACTATAGTATCCTTGTTTTGCTATCTAAATAAGTTATACATTCTATTTATTTATTATCATCATTTTTAATATACTCATTTATCTTTTAAATGTTGTAAAAAAAATTAAAAAAATACAATAATATATTTTATATGAATTTTTATATAAATATTTTCATTTTGAATATTCATAATTCAGCTTGTTAAAAAAATATCACAAGGATAATTTGGTAAAATATACATTTCATTGATCTTTTATTCCTTTAATCAAACACTATAGTTTTACATCCCTGTCAAACAAACCAAATACAATAATATAACATTCACAGTAATATGTCAGACAATGTTACATTCTTATAATCTTATTTCCGAAAATAATATTATATTTCACGAACCAATCGTCCTTAAAGGTGAAAGTTGCATGCATTTGAGGGCCTCGCAACAATTATATCGTGGATTGGGCTTTTACAATTATTCATGCTTCTGTTTAGAGCTCAGGGAGCCAACCGCCACCTACACCTACACCTGGGCTGGACTACACATTTATCTTCTTCTCTAAGGTAGTGTCTGGTAATGGTATGATACAAAGTATTTAAATAACTTTTAATTATTTATAAAACATCAATTGTTATAACGTCAATGTGGTTGTCCAGGATGATATTTAAGCATTTTCTAAGTCAATTTCCACTCATTCCCTACACTCTCTTTAGTTGTTTTTCATTTAATTCATGTTTTTTATTTAATGGCAATTTAAGATCTTTTAATTTTTAACTCGTTTTCTTTTTCAATTTATCAATTATATTTGAGCAAGGAATTTTAAAATACTTATTGAATTAAGAAATAAGATCTAGAGAGAATGATCAAGGATTAAAATCCAACTCAGGAAAAAAAACACATAACATTAAAAGAAAATAAATAAAAGAAAATGCGTGTGAACTATTAAATTTTGAATTTTAAGGATATGAAAAATGAATAGTTTATTAATTTTAGATAAATATATAACTAGATGAATGTATATTTAATCTTTTAAAAGTAGTTGATTCTTAATAATCTAAACGATGGATAAAAACGAGAAATTATTTGATAGATTCGGCTCACCATGTTACCCATTGTCCTAGTGAATAAGAACCGCAAATTTTAAAATAACTTCAAAATAATTATCCACTTGTTATTTACATGTAGGAAAGAGATGAAGATTCACCTTAAAAAAACATGAGATGAAGAAATATTATTGGTTGGACCGGATTCATCTAATTTTTTTTTTTTGATAAAACATCTCATTCACTACAATTGAATACTAACACTTCAAATCAGAAAAAATTAAATAAATAATAAACAAAAGAAAAATGATCTCTCAAAGAAATTATTGCACAAATATATTTTATGAATAAATTATAAAAGAAACCTGTTTTAGTTAAATTAAAAAACTAATAAAATAAGCTAAATACAATAAATTTTAACTTATACATATCAATTACTACCATAAGATAAATAAATAATATCAAAATGTTTAATATGATACATGAAATATCGTTACATGTATTATTGTGACATCAGATTAATATCGTTTGAGTAATACTTAAATTATTGTTTAGTGTGTCCTATTATAACACAAATTGATAATATTGATACGTGTTGAATCAATCAATGAAATTTTATAATTATTATAATAATTTATAAAATAATAATTCAAGTATTATATTAGATAATTTGTCAAAGTATATATATCATATTAAATATTTAAAAAAGTATAAATAATTTTATTAAATAGCTTATTAAAATAAAAAATTTAAATGAGACATTATCTCATAAATTAGAATGATGTATATATACAATATAACTTGAAATTAAACAAGTTATTGTTAGGTCATGCGTTACAACACTAACAAGTGTTGCTGGATGATCGAACATTCATTGTCATATAGTTGAGAATATTTGAAACATATATCACTTTATA